GAATGCAATTTTTCTCTCAGACGTGTAATATAAATCGAATGCTCGTACTACTGTGGCGGTTAATTAAGAATTTATTTATCCGATTAAGCAGAATTCGTGAAATATAATTTGTCTCGCGAATCACTGACTGCATCACACAATACGATATTGAAACACCGTACGTATCTGAAACATTTTTAAAAACGTACTCGAGTTAATCTTGTATTTGAACTCGTAACGTAAAGTTCAAACAAAATTTGATTCGATTTTTTTCTGCAATTTCTTTCTTTCTTTTCTGTTCGATGCGAACGAACGCAGCCTCGCGAATTTAATAAATATAAATTTTCAACGATGTTCGAGGCATGGCGATTGCCTGTAGGATACCTTGTCAAGCGAGAATAATCTCAACTTGCTCCGAGGACCTACTTTAAGAACCATCCTTGAGACGTTTCATTTTTCGTTTGTTTTAAAGTATCCTCTCAAAGTTTCTGCTACATCCTCCTGTAAAGTAGAACTCGAACGTTGACCTATCCCGACAGGCGATCCATCCAACCATAAGTAAGCAACAATTTAACGATACCGTCTTATCAAACAACGTACAAAGGAAAGCGGACGTAAAAAAAAAAGTCACGAAAGAAATATTCAAATTCATGTTCGCGCAAACATTCTTAGTTCTAGTCGTATAAAATAAGTATAAAATAAGAAGGCAACACAAGTGCTGAACTAAGATATTTGTTGACACAGTGTATTTTAATAAATTTTCGTGTGCCAGAGGATAAATTTGACTATAGTTAAATAATTGTTGCAACGCGAACAAATAAAATCGAAAATCCCCCCCTTCCCCCATTGAGTATTAAAGCAATTTACGCATTTGCAATGTACGTAAGATAGAAAATTCTGGGAAACAAGATTGCGTTCGAAGATCATTGCGCGTAGAAATGTCAACGAAACGGCTGGAAGCCGGCGATTAATTTGATCCTCCGCGTCCACGCGAGTTAATTCGTATCAGCAGCGTGGAGCGATATTTTGAAATTTATTATACGTCGCGTAAACCGAGCTTCCTCCGGCGAGCAATTATACCAATTAACGTCCACGCTCGTTCCCATTCACCACATTAAAGTATCGTTGCTCTTTTTTTGGTGACCTCCTCCTCCTCCTCCTGAATCGGAATCACCATTATCGGGCAAAACATTGACCGTAAAAACAGTATGACTCGGTTGAAAATGAAAATCGTATGTAAAAATATACGCTTGCAATTTTCATTGATCCGCCGGGCATAAATTGGCGTTAAATCACGGAAAACGACCTTTGTTGGACCGCGAATCGAGGTCAAGATTCGTTTTCTCTCTCTCTCTCTCTCTCT